AGACTGAAAATTATGTGAAATTCACATACCCTACATTCATATAACTAAATAACAGAGAAACAGACAAATTAACTTTCCATTCCAACAACTGAAGGGCTGCTGGGCAGAAAAAGTAAAATAACAAACTGAGACAAATTTACATACTATTAACACATTAAGACACATAAATAATGGAATTTACTATTTTTTGAGTGTTAAAAATAGCTTTAAATTACTTCTTTTATAGGAATAAAGGCTTATAACATTAAGCACTAACTATGTGTCAGGTGCTGAGCCAAGTATTTTAGAAGGATTTTATTATTTAATCTTTACTAGCAAGTAACAGAGTCAGGATTTGAACTCAGCAATCAGATGCCAAAGCTCTTAATCATAATAACTATTAATAAAATGTGAGAGGAAAGTGAGAAATTACCCTCCAGTGAGGATGGCCATGCCACAATCCCATCTCCATTCTCCTCTTGGGATCTTGGGCATGCATGCACATGCCCCAGGTGAGTTTTAAACCACCAGGTCCAGGACTTGAACCATGGTCGACTATGTGGGACCCCAGTGATGTAACCATCTGCCATCTGCTGGTCCCCCTCCTCCTTGTTTTTTTTTAACAACATAAAATACTAGGCCCCCCCCCCTTTTTTTGAGATATTTTGCTATAGTGTGCACACGTGAGCTAGAGAGAGAGAGAGAGAAAGTGAGAAATCTCCCCTCGGGGGGATAGCCATGCCATAATCCCTTCTCTATTCTCCTCTTGGGATCTTGGGCATGCATGCACATGCCCCAGGTGAGTTTTAAACCACCAGGTCCAGGACTTGAACCATGGTCGACCATATGGGAATTCAGCACCTTAACCACTATGCCACCTGTTGGCCCTGCCCATGTTTTGATAAAGGAACAAACTAAGATATTTTTCCATATAGAATGCTCGTGGCTACCTATTTTACAAAATATTGAAAGCATATTAAATCTAAATCATAATTAACAAGTAATTAAATCCCATGAAGTATTCGTTATACTTAATTACATAGAATGTATGCTTTGCACATAGTAATAACAAATACTTATTGATTTGTTATTTAGTTATAGCAGATAAAGAATCAAATTACAATGCACAAATATTTCCTGTAGTCTAGATATTTATTTTCTTAGTAACTATAAACTTTTTTTAGAAGCAAAAAAGGCTATCTGAGTTATAGAAAGTTCAAATGTTTATTTTCTTGCTGATATTGTAAGGCAAATAATTAAGGCAGGGAGGAAAAGCAAGATGATTTTCAAGTATTTTAAAAAACAGCAACAAAGATGATCAACAATGGAGTGAGTAACCATACTATAATATTCTCTCAGCCAAATCCCCTTGCTGCCTTCTACACAAGAAAGACTTTCTTTAACTATAAAGATGCTTAGTTATCTTTCATCACCTATCATTACCTATCATTACTTAAAATTTATTTTGAGTGAAAAAACTTACCCATTGAGATTACCTATTTATTTTCAATGGAATTTTCTAGTCATTTAGTGAAGCAATTTAAAAAATATAAACATTCTTGAAATTGCTCATTACAGAATTCACATCATATTATGCTTGGCCTGAGGAATGTTATAGAGAGTCAGATTTGAGTTAGAAGTAGGGCAAATTGCATTAGAACATGTAGTAGCTTTTATGGAATTTTGTTTGTGTGTATATGGGTTTTTAAAGAAGAGGTAATTGCTTAGCCAGCGTATCTCTTGTTTCTCTGAGTAGAATATAAATAAAACCAGATCACCATCTAGAAAAACTTGCTTTATCACAGGTTTATCAAATCTGTATTGGGCTACAAGAAAAAAGAACCTAAAATCTCTCCATTTTAGATAGTAAAGTTTAAGTTTTGCTCTAGCAAAATCTCTTTGTTCAGGAAATGCCAAGTCCCTTATCTGATATATTGCTTCCCTGGTAGATTCTATGCTGTGTATTTAGAATTGCTGAACAACAACAACAAAATAGCCAAAATAAAAACCTTGTTTTCTGACAATAAAAACTGAAAGAAAAATGAAACTTCATCATTTCTCTAGTTTATTAGTATATAATTACTAAAAGGGAAGGGGGGGCAGGTGAGTATTATATGATTAGAATGTTTTAAATTATACATCAATTCTATCATTCTCTCATGATATGTATCGGAATCTAAAAGGATTATAGTGAATAAGTGGGTCATTAGCTACTCTAAAAATAACTCAACAGTAAAGATAAGTAAACAGCCAAAATATTCCAGCTGAACAAAAAATTCTTAATAAGGATTAACATTTGTTACATATTTAAATTAGCTAGCTGGAAAATCTTTTAAAAGTCTATATTTCAAATATAAATTTTATATTAATTTAAAAGGTCTGAAACATCAGTTTTGACCCACCTTACCCTTTCTTGTAAATAAGCATTGAGGTAAAAAATGAATCAATAGCTAAACACCTGAACAATCCAAAAATGGGTAATTGGGTTGCAAATAATTAACACATATATTTTCTAAGCAAATCTAGACCCAGATTTTACAAAGCACATCTCCCTATAATTCAATGTCTACTTCTGTATAGTCTTATAAACACAGAAGACTTAAATGTAAAATATCACTTTTATACATTAAATTTTCCATCTATAAAAACTACATGTTAATTATTTATCTATAAAAACTGCTATGTTAATTATATATTATCTTACCAGCCCATGAAAGCTGATATCCCATGGTGCTGCATTTATCAATATTTTGTGCTTAGATTAATGTACCTGAAATATACCTGAAAGTATATGTAGATTCAATGTATCTATTTAAAAGGAATGAATCTACTACAGTTTAAAATGATTTTCTATGTGTACTTTTCAAGGATTTTGATTGTCCCCAATTTAGAAATCACTGACACCTGACTGAATGAAAGTAAGTAACCGTACAAATGACGTCCACAACAGCTAAATCCCCATCTCACAGTGACCCACCAAGATGGCCAAGGAAGTGTAAGGAAAACCTTCATTAGCACTAAAACCTTGAGAAGGGTATCGGTGACATCACACACTCCAAACCTGCAGGGATTTCTATACTGGATGAAGAATCGAAATAGGGAAGGGCAAACCTGCCAGACTTGTTAAACCGTAAAAGAACAACTTGACTCTCTGGGAGGCAACATTTAACTAAAAGCACAAAGAATGGATGTCAAGGTAGTAGACATTCAGGTGTAAGACATACAATCCAGATCCCATGTTTGGCAAATATGTTACATCAGCCATTCACTATCTAGGAATTTACCCTGAAGAGAAAATTGGACAAATATGCAAAGTATAATAATAACCATAATGAATAATAGTGAAAACAGAATATAACCTCAATGTCTACTTATAAAAAATTAGTATATTATTTTACCCAAATAATGGAATATTACATATATGTAAGTTTTTACTGAAATGGAATGAGCACCATAATATACTGTTGGAAAAAAAAGCACCTAATAATAGTTACACACGTGAAAGATAATCTCAAAAATTATCAACAATATACAAGTGGGGGTTTCTTCTAGATGGCTAGAAAAAAAGTAATTTTTTAATTGTTATTAATATTGCCTAACTTTTCTAAATAAGTATATATTATATTTGTGATCATAAAAAATTCTCTATGTTGGAGAAAGAAAGTATATTTATTTTTTAATACCATAATTCTGCTTGGAAAAAACTACTCTAGGAAAATAATTAGAAAAATTAATGGGCCAATGTCATGGGTCAGCCCATGGCCTGGTGGTTAAGGCAGCTGGATCCCACATGGCTGACTGTGCAGTTGGAGTCCCGGACCAGGAAGCATGAGAAACATGTCAGGCGCATGCGTGTACATGCCCAAAATCCCAAAAGGAGGGATAAACGGAGGAGAAAGGATCGCAGTCTGACCATTTTCTATGGGGAGGGGTACTTTCCCACTGCCCTCGCTCCTCCACAATCATGTGCCCTCTGGCAAATTTAAAAAAGAAAAGAAAAAACTCATGAAGTTAGAGAGTCGAAGAAGTTTATCATAGCAGTGTTTATTATAGTTACTATAATAATTAGGATCATCTAAATGACCTGGCCCAGCTATGGTAGTGCAGCAGTAACATGAGGCTCTGCGATACTTGAGACTGTGTGGAAGATCGGTGTTTGGTTCCTGGGTCAACCACACATGCTGGGTGGCACATGCTGGATGCATGCATGCCTGTGATACTAGCTAGCTGGGAAGGCTGGAGGGAGATGGTGGCATGAGAACCTGTTGAGGGTGCTTATCTTTGTCTCTTTCTCAAGAAATAAATAAGTATACTTTTTAAAAAACCTCAATGATCAATAGTGAATTTATTAAATAAATTATGGAGAATTAAGATAAAGACATATCCATCACAACTAGCTCAGTGATCTTGGGACTATTAGTTCTTCATCTATAAAATGGGGGAAAAGAGCACTCTCTCTCAGTGCTCTACCTCACAATTAGCTTTACCCTATTATGATAGTCAAAGAAAAATGTGATGCTTCTGTGCTGCCTCTAATATTCACAACCTCTACTTTAAAAACGACTTTGTTATATGGTTTAAAAAATATTTCAATATCAAAATTCAATTTGGCCATCAATCAAGTAAAGAAAATATGAATCTAGAAGCACAGGAAAGTGAATATCAAAGTTGAAAATAAGGAATTTCTGCAATTTCTAGCTTAAATTTTTAAAAACTGTAAGCATTCACAAAATAAGCTTGTCTATTCACCTATACATGTAGAAAAACAGCGATGGAAGAGAGGATACTTGTGGATACTTGTGGCACTAGGTCAGGTTCCAATAAGAAGCTACCCAGTCTATAGTGATGGAGAGCATCAGTATCCTGACATCAGTGAAAAACAAAACTCCCTATGTATGTGTGTGTACACACATATGTATGTATACACACATGTACATGCATGTATATACATAGTAGCTTGCTTCATCAGTTTTACAATTATTATACACTTTATATTGTTGCTTTAATTTTCTGAAACCTACCTGCCATGGTCTTTCCCAATCCAGTGGAATAGGAAGTGCTCCAAGCCACGTTCCTACAAAACTAGAAATTGTAGTGATCTGGAGACTATTCTCCCAAATGGATGTAACTCTGTAAAACACAAAGATGTAAATCATTGTTGGTGTATATCTTAGCTGCTAGAGAATCAAACAAACAGTATAAATTAATGCTATACATGTATTTTCTATTTAAAATGAGCATCACAAATTAAGATCTATATAGTCACCATGCACTATTAACAATTAGCAACTGGTAGAAAGATATAAATGTTTTTCCATTATAAAGGTAATACTGGGGGCCAGCAGGTGACGTGGTGGTTAAAGGCACTAGATTCCCACATGGCCAGCCGCAGTTCAAGTCCCGGTCCTGGCGGCATGCTTTCTCACCTTCTCTCTCTCTCACTCTGTCTCTCTCTGGTCAAATTAAAATAAATAAGTAAGTGAATAAATAAAGTTAAATAAAATAATTATTTTTAAAAAATAGAAATGTAATACTGGGTTGTGGGAAAAGTCATGATGCATTTTTGCATAGAAAAACACAGAGGGACCAGCAGATAACATAATGGCTACATCACTGGACTCCCACGTGGTAGACTGTGGTTCAAGTCTAGGGGCCAGCAGGTGGCATGGTAGTTAAAGCACTGGATTCCCACATGGCCAATTATGGTTTGAGTCCCAGACCTGGTGATTTGTTTTCTCTCTCTCTCTCTCTCTCTGGTCAAATTGAACAAGAATAATAATAAATAAAATTAAATAATTTAAAAAAATCATTCTAGAAAAGCCTTTTCCAGCCATATAATTCACTCATTTAAAGTATATAATTCAGTGTTTTTGTTTTGTTTTTAGTATATTCACAGAGATGTGCAACCATCTCCAGAGTCAATTTTAGAATGTTTCCATCACCCCTAAAAGAAACCCTTTACCTATTAGTAATCACTCCCCATCTCCCCTGCTCCCCAGCCCTGGGAAACCACTTAGCTACTTTCTGTCTCTGGATTTGCCTACTCTGGACACTTGATATAAATGGAATCATACAATATTTGTTTTTTGTGGCTGGTTTGGGTCACTTAGCATGTTTCAGAGTTCACCTATGTGAACACCACATACCAGCATTCATTCCTTTTTATGGCTTACTTATTGCCTTGCATAGATATTTCATATTTTATTTACCCATTTAACAGCTCATGGAAACCTGGGTTGTTTCTGCTTTCAGGCTATTATGAATAATGCCAACACATGAACATTCATGTACAAGTGTCTGTGCGGGCATGTTTCCAGTTCTCCTGGGATTACACCTAGCAGTGGAATTGCTAGGTCATATGGTAACTCTGTTTTATCTGCCAGACTGTTTTCCAAAGCAGCTGAACCACTTTACATTCCCAGCAGTGTATGAGGGTTCCAATTTTTCCACATCCTCTTAACACTTGCCATTATTATTTTTTATTATAGTCATCCTAGTGGGTGTGAAATGGTATCTCGCTGTGGTAAATTTAGGGTTAGGAATTTAGAAAAGTCTTAAATGTCAGACTAAAGGAGTCACTGAAGGTTTTAAATCAAGGAAGAAATATGATGAGATCTGTTTCAATAAGACTTATGTATCTATTTTATCTAAGTTCTAAATTCCAAGTTCTAGGCTAAGGGGCAAGATGCATATCTTTACATTTTTATTTCAGTACACCTGTGACCATCTTATGATTACTAAAATAAAAAGTGCTAACATCACACACACACACACAAATACACACACACAAGACCTACTTTAAAAAACAGAAGAACTTGGGTCAGCAGGTGGCAGGGAGGTTAAAACAGGTGGATCCCACATGGCCAACTATACAGTTCAAGTTCTGGACCCAGTGGCTTAAAAAACACACTGGGCATATGTGCATGTGTGCCCAATGTCCTGAGAGGAGAATGGAGAAGGGATTGCAGTATAGCCACCCACATTGGAGGATTATTTTTCACGTTCCCTCCCCTCTCTCTCTCTCTGGTGAGTGAATGCACACTTGGCCAAAAACTTCTTAAAAAATAGAAAATCTCTGTAGGCTATGCTTATAAAATACAAATTTTTTATGCAGTCATGTACCATGTAGCAAGGTTTCAGTTGACAAGACCACATATATAATAGTAGTTCCATAAAATCATAATGGAACTTAAATATTCCTATTGCCTACTAATGTCACAGCCATTACAATGTCATCACAGTGCAACACATTACTCACATATATGTCATGATGTAGGTGTAAACAAACCTACTACACTGCCAGTCATGTACATACAGTACACACAATTATGTACAGTACATAATATTTGCTGATCATAATAAACAAATGTGTTACTGGCTTATGTGTTTACTACACTACACTTTTTATTGTTTAGAGTATACTCCTACTCATAAAAATTGTTTGCTCTGGGCCAGCCAGTGGTGTGGTGGTTAAGGTGGCTAGATCCCACATGGCCAGCTACACAGTTGAGTCCCAGACATGAAGGCTTCAAAAACACACCAGGCGTGTGTGCATGTATGGCCAAAATCCTGAAAGGAGAATGAAAGAGAAGGGACTGCGGTGTAGTCATACTCCAGGAGGGTGCTTTCTCATTCATCCCACCCCCATCCCCCCACCCCCGTCTCTCTCCAACAAGTACACGTGCCCATAATAAATTTAAAATATGAATGAATAAATAAATGTTAAAAAGTTTGTTTTAAAACAATGTGCCATGTTATACTGGTAGCAGCCTCATTTCTTCTCATGTTTACTGAGTCTCTAGATTGCATCATTTTTCTGTTTGATTTAATCTATTGCCAATACTGCCAGTAAGAGGCCACATTGATGGATAAATGGGGACCAGCAGGTGATGTATTGGTTAAGGCACTGGATTCCCACATGGTCAATTGCAGTTTGAGTCCCAGACCCGATGATTTAAAACTTACACCAGGCACATGCACATGTGTGCCCAAAATCCTGAGAGGAGAAGGGATTGTGGAGTGGTCATCCTCCCAGGAAGTGATTTCTCACTTTCTATCTCTCTGCTGAGTACACACGTCCAGCAGCAAAAATCCCACTCTTAAAAAAAGAGGTCACACTGATTGATAAATACGTGTGTGTTTGTGTACATGCACACATACACATGTCTACATAGCAAAGGATTAATATAGCCTAGGTGTGTAGTAGGCTATACCATGTAGGTTGTATAATTACACTTTATGATGCTCGCATAATGACAAAATTGTTTTTTAACTCATCTCTTATTAATAGAATGTACCCCTTTGTAAAGCCACACATGACTGTATTTGTCAAAATTATATATGTAACATCTTTAAAGTGAAGGATTATAATTAGATTAATAATGAAAATAATAAAAATAGTAGTCTCCTCCTCCATCCCTTTCCACTCCTGATTTCTACTTCTGAGGTAAACACTTTCAACTCTTCTTCCTGTTTCTTCTATTCACCTCAAATTTAAAAGAATATGCACTAAGTATAGATTTTTTTTCAAGATTTAATTACTTTCTGCTTACTATATGGGAGAGGAAGAGTTTACACATTTTACCCACAAGGCCCCCACTCCTACATATACATTTCTCCCCAGGTCATTGTTCCTCTTCAACGGTTACATCTCTTCTTTTTGGCTGAATTGATAGCAGTGTCTACCTTATGAAAACATACTAATCAGAGTGACCCACACAGCAATCCACAATTACATTTCCTTTCTTATAGTAAATATATAGCTTTCTTAGGATGTTAAGAAGTGCTTCTCTTCCCCCCCCATTGGCTGATGTACCTGCCACTAAACTGCCTTCGAGTACTCCAATGCAAGCAGAAAGCCCCTGAG